CCATTAGTATCACGATATTGTTTATCCATTATATGACCATTGATGTTCATGACCATACACTTCAAGACATCAAGTAATCTTTCACTAGCTACATAATGAAGAAAGGGGACACTGCTGCCATAGCCATACCAAGTAATACCCATCATTGGATCACAGCCACACTCTTTAATAAGATAGTCAACTATATCAACGTGATTACCTTTAGCAGCAGTATAAAGACAGGACTCACCAGAATAGTATTTACGTGGATCAAAACGGTAAATAGTGACGAGATCTCTTGTAACACCTAACCAGCCATTACTTATAGAATAATAAAGCAGGTCAGGCTCATACAGGTAAAGTACTTCAGAATCCTGTAAACATAGTAAGCGAACAGCTCCTTTGTGATCTCTACTTTGAAATGCAACCCGACATTGTTGCCCTGCCATTAGCAAGGGAATGTGTGAAGAGCTTGGAGAAAAGTCGCTATGCTCTCGCTGACTCGTTCAAAGCAGAGAAAGAATGCAAAGGGTATATAGTCATGTGACTCAAAAATCATGTGATATCAGAGTAACAAATCATGGATAAATTTATTGTGCCATTCATATTATTTTATTAATTTTTATAGTAAAACATCACAAATAACACGCTCTTGAAAGACACAGACAAAAACAAGAAATAAAGAACACTAGAAGACAAGAAATTAAGAAAAGAGAGAACGAAAGAGATAGATCTAAGAGACCAATCAATAGATTCATTCATTCAATCCAGTCTCCTCATATCATATCATTCATAGGTCCTGTATCAGTAGTAGTCTCACTGCCCCCTGTACATTAGTAAGAGCTTCAGTAGCATAGTCCTTAGTTACATTATGTATTATTAAATCATTAACTGCTACCAGTTCATCTCCAGTCTTTATCTTTGAGTCTTTCTGTAACACTGACTCAGGTAGGATCCTCTTTACGTAAATGGGTACATCCCCAGTGGGAGAGCCACGCCCACCAACGATACTGAGACCCAACCCCTGACCAGGGGAGAATCTGACTATAATGGACCTTATGCACCGAAATGATTCTAATTAACGCGCACCCAAAGTGGTGGTAAAATGGCGGATTTTTGGAGGGAAAGACAGGCTAAACAATCTTCTCTTTTATCCATCCATTCTAGCTGTGGGAGCCACTTTGAGCTGTCCTTTTGTTTCAGTATACTCTATTTATCTCTTTTGTAAGCTCTTTGGTTGCTGTTTTGGCTTTTATAGCATTTTATCATAGGAATATTCTCAACCATTGGCCATTCCCGTTTTC